AAAGGGAGGCCAAAGAGATGTGGGTTGTGGTGTCAATAGCATCTTCTATACAGGATAATGGGCAATGAGGGAAGTTCTTTGGAGAAAAATACCAGCTTAAAAATGCATAAAGAATGCCGAAATTAGAAGTTCACTATTTTGTAGCACTCAATGAAATAATGGCTCCAGGAACAACCATTACAGGCCGCAAAAAAACCCATTAGGTCAGGTTTTTGGAACTTTATAATGGATGGATTATACTGCCGGCTTCTAACCCCCAAGCAATCCTAACCTGACCAAAAGCAGAACAACCAGTCATAGTGGGGATCCTCAGGCCAGACGAAGGAAAGAGCTCAGCACCTCCTATGAAGCAAACAAACAAACAAAACTGAATCTGAATTTAAATTCAGTCTCTAGATCTAATTGAGTTTACTGCCCCCAAGAAAATAATAATAATTATGATAAGGCTACAGAAGGACATGTGAAAAGATGCTTTTAAAAAAAGTTGTCTAAGTCCCAAACTGAGAAATTCTATAGGAAAAAATATTGTTTCTTCAACAAATAATTGTCATGAAGAAAAGGGGAAGGAGAACTGATGTAGGTAAGATAAAACATGAGAACTAATGATAATAATCCAATGGTTTAAAAAAAAAATTATGAGACAATTGAGAAATTTTAAAAATTGGGTGTTAGTTGATATGAAGAAATTATTGTTAAAGTTAAACAATGGATACATGGTAACTACTTGGTGCTCTCTCTTCTTAAGACTTTTTTTATCTTCATGACAAATTTTTGGAAAGCAGTTTTGTGATAGAGAAAAGGAGAGCACATGGAGAAGGATGTAGACTCTGGGGAGATGGAGCATGTTTTAATGCTGAAGGAGAGAGTGAGGACCCCAGAAAAAGAAGAAAGCACTCGTGGAGCCAGTTCTGGAGAGTCCTAGGAAACAGGGTGCTGGACCCAGGTGGCTGGCCTTGTCAAGGATGACAATTAGGCCTCCACTAGCTGAATTCCAGCTCGTGTCCTGTTCACAGATTTGATCTTCATTAGCCCTTAACTCATCCCATAAGATGAGTGTAATAATTCCCATCTTAGAGATGAGAAATTAAAACTCAAAAAGGTTGATGACTCACTCAGGCTCAAATAACTGTAAATGGCAGATCCAGGATTTTTAATTTTTTTTTTTTTATTCAGCTGCAGTATGCAAACTCTTAGTTGTGGCACGTGGGATCTAGTTCCCTGACCAGGGATTGAACCCAGGCCCCCTGCATTGGGAGCATGGAGTCTTAGCCACTGGACCACCAGGAAAGTTCCTAGATCCAGGATTTAAACCGAAGTTTCTGTTCTTCAAGCTCTTGTGGTCTGTATGGCTGCGAGACAGGCTGAAATGTCTTGCGGGGGGTCGGGGGTAGAGGGTGACATTTCAACCATTGGAGGTGAAGAGAGAGCAGCAGATTCAGACTTCATGACTGATGGCCTCTGTTCCTTGTGAAGCTGGGTGGGAGGCTCTTGAGGACAGGGGTACAGGCTCTACTGTTCTTTATGGGGCTGTCAAGGAGCTGGAGAGGAGTGAGTCACTTTCCTGGTCCAAGACCATCTTCGCCCGCCAGTGAGACAGAGGTGTCCCCACAAGGAATTGAGCAGGGGGAATGATCAGGTCGCTCTCGTGGCCCTTTCCCACTCCGCTGCAGCTTCAGGAAACACGGATGCAATATAGAGAGTGTTAGTTGACCCAAGCTGCACGTGGGTGCACGTGGGCTCAGTCGTTTCAGTCATGTCTGGCTCTGCGACCTCACGGACTCTAGCCCGCCAGGCTCCTCTGTCCGTGGGGTTCTCCCAGCAAGAGTACTGGAGTGGGTTGCCATGCCCTCCTCCAGGGGATCTTCCCGACCCAGGGATCAAACCCTTGTCTCTTAGATCTTCTGCACTGGCAGGCGGGTTCTTTAGCATTAGCACCACCTGGAAAGCCCATATGCATCAGCACATGGTGGAAAACTTCCAAGAAAAGCTCATGCAAGCTCAGCAGCTACCCAGAGCCCCAGTAAGGGGAGGGGATGTCCAAGCCTCCCTATCTCACTGCCCTCTGATCACACCTGAACTTCTGTTCTCTGCATAGGTCTGCCCTGCCCCTGGGTGGTGACCTGTGTGCACGGAATGAGGCCAAAGGAGGAGCCGAAGAATCTTGTCTGGGCTCTGTGGGGGCCGTAGGCAACAGAGAAGGGAGAGATGAGGCAGGCTGCAGGGAGGAAGCAGAACCCATTGCATAAAGAATTTTAAACCAATGAATTGGATTACGTAGTGGCTTTATGGCATAATAACAATTAAGAACGTTGGCTTTGAGGTCAGACTCATTGTGATTATCCCAGCTCCATCATTTACTGCAACCTTGGGCAAGTTACTCAACCTCTCTGAGCCCGGTTCAGGTGCCTCAGGCGTCCCAGGAGCCTGTGGGGCTGGGTGGACTTTGCTGCCCTCTGGTGGCAGACAGGGGGTGTTACTCAGATGCTGAGTCCACTCTTGTGGGACAGCTGGTGAGGAGTGAGGATGGGCAGACACTCTTTCCTCCCACGGAGCAGACCTCAAATCCGGCTTCAGCATTAGGAGGGTGCCAACTGGAGGGCCCCACCAGGGTCTGCTGGGGAGGCTTGGTCCATCTATCCATGACTCATGAAGTTATTCAGGCCCTCATTAGGGGCCAGTCAAGCTGGGTTTGAGTCTGAGTGACCCTGAGTTGGTCACTTTCCCCTCTGGGCCCTCTCAGTCCTTATAGGATGACAAACATGTCAAAACCCTTTGGCTAGGCTTAGACATTGAGGTTGCTATTACCCACATGCCTTAATTCTCTCTCCCCCAACTTTGTGCATTCATTTATTTCATTCACTTAACTTCCAGCCAGCAGTTGTCTGCCAAGCACCAGCTCTGGGCCACTGCCCTCTTAGCTCTGTAACTGTCTGTTCATCTACTGTGGTGTGGGCTTTCATTCTTGGAGGATCCATTTCTTTTCTTTTTTTTTGATCCATTTCTTTATTGAGTTCATTCATTCTTTATCATACTCACTAACTTCCTCCTTCATTCATCACTGCTGCTGCTGCTGCTAAGTTGCTTCAGTCGTGTCCGACTCTGTGCGACCCCATAGACGGCAGCCCACCAGGCTCATGCCGTCCCTGGGATTCTCCAGGCAAGAACACTGGAGTGGGTTGCCATTTCCTTCTCCAATGCATGAAAGTGAAAAGTGAAAGTGAAGTCGCTCAGTTGTGTCCAATTCTTCAGTACTGGGGTGGGGTGCCATTGCCTTCTCCTCACTCATCACTGCTGCTGCTAAGTCACTCATCACTATTGCATCTCAACTGCATATTCACTCATTCTTTACTTTTTCAGACTCCTTTCCTTTCTCTCTCCCTCATTCCTGTGTTCTGCAAGCATTGTAAAAGCACCACTCTAAGCCAGAATTAGATGCTGGGTTTCTGGCACAACCCTCTCCCCAGACTTCTAGGTAGACAGACGGTGAGGACACCCTGTGACTGCCACATGCCAGCCACTGGGACTCGGAGCAGAGGGAGCACCAAGAAGGGAGCAACTGACTGCCTGGAGGAGGAGGCTGGGTGGGGGCAATCAGAGAAGGCTTCCTAGAGGAGGTAGCATTTAAGCCACGCCAAACAGGGTGTGGGGCTTCCTAGGTGGTACTAGTGGTAAAGAACCCGCCAGCCAGTGTAAGAGATGTAAGAGGTGCTAGTTTGATCCCTGGGTTGGGAAGATCCCCTGAAGGGAGGAAATGGCAACCCACTGCAGTATTTTTGCCTGGAGAGTCCCATGGACAGAGGAGCCTGGAGGGCTATAATTCATGGGGTTGCAAAGAGTCAGGCATGACTTAGCAACTAAAAAACCACCAGGAGCACACCTGTAGTTGAACAAATTGGGTTTATCGCCTCAGTTTGAGAAGGAAGACTGCGTTTACCTCAGTAAGAGAGTGTTTAGGGGATTCCCTGGTGGTCCAGTGGTTGGGACTCCACACTAGAGTTTGATCCTTGGTCAGGGAACTAAGAGCCTGCAAGCTGGGCTAGTGGCCAAAATAAAGGGTGGGGAGGTTGTTAAAGAGACTTAGGATGGGATTTGGGCCTGGGTTAAGTGATTTGGGGGAGGATTTGAGTAAGTGGGCTTTTACTCTGGAATAGACGTTAGGAATCAGGGACAATTTTATGATTGAAAGCCTTAAATATTTAAAGTGGAACTCTAACCGGATAAAGAAGCAGCGGTTACTCATATTAGAATGGGGAAAACGGTTGGTCCTTTTCTTGTTCCAACAATATTCTTGTTTTCATCCGACACTAAACGCGATTACGGAGCAGTCTTGTTAATGCCTTGCGACACCATGGCCCCAGAATGGCCTTGCACTACAGTGGCGTTTAGGAAACTGTCTATGTCCAACAAGAGAATCCTAAGGTCTAGCTGTGAGTGCCAGGCCAGCTCCCAGATGCCCTTTCTCGTAGGAAAGGCCCCTTCACGCGACCGAGGTGTATTTGCTGGGTGCCAGGAGCTGAGTAATTCGAGGCGGACAAAAGATATACGGCCCCAGTCCTCCGGGAGCCCACAGTGACGTCTGCGGTGTCTTAAACAGGTCGTCAGAAACGGCGGGGGGAGTGGACCAGACCCAAGGAACAAAGGCCCGGGGACGGGGACGAGGGTGGGGGGTGCTGAGAGCGTTAGCAGGGTGGCGGGCGAAGCCACAACTCACCCCGGGAGTGCGAAGGTCGGCGGGGGCCAGACCCTCGGGCACACAGGGCCACCTCTTCCCCAAGGACGTGGGCGTTCGTTGCACAGATCTGCTTAGAAACAGGAAAAAGAAATCAAGCAGCTTTAATCAAAATAACCCACCCGGGCCTCGAGCTCATGAATATTCAGCAGCCTACTTCCGGCGGGCAACCGCTCCGGCCGCGCCTACCTAGGAGGCTGCGCTTGCGTCACACGCGCGCGCCTCTGTCGTCACACGCGCGCGCCGCTGCCCGCCAGGGAAGGCTGCTGTCATGGCGAGCTCTGCGGCCTCCTCTGTGCGACCGCCGAGGCCCAAGAAAGAGCCACAGGCGCTCATCATCCCCAAGAATGCCGCGGAGGAGCAGAAGCTCAAGCTGGAACGGCTCATGAAGAACCCGGTGAGACGAGGCGCGGGCTGACGGCCGTCCCGAGTCCCAACCCCTTCCCTTCCGTCGTCTCTGGGCGCTCGCGGGCCCTCTTCCCCAGTCTCTGAACGCGGGAACCCAGGAGCCAAAGCCCAGACTTTGGGGAGGAATAGGCGAGCCGGAGACAGATTTCTGCTGCCCTTCTGGTAGAGCCAAGCGTGGAGAAGGGCGCTGCGGACTGGCTTCCCGTGCTTGAAGACCCTTTAACTTCGTGTGAACGGAAGCCTTAGACTAGAAAGATGGAGTCTTTGGGTTAGCACAAGCATTTATTCTAAAAGCATTAACTGTTAGGCATTGGGCCAAGAAACCTGGGGGTTGGAGGTCTTCAGCGATAAATAATGACTGACGTTCTGAGTTCTGCCCTGGAAAGTTGAGTTTAGCCCTAACAAGGCTGTGGGCTGTGATAGGACCCAGAATATACAGAATGAAGTAAAGCCAGAAGGGAGAAAATAAACTCAGCTTTGTGTCCAAGAAATAAAGCAGCCTTACTTCACTAGTTCAGTTAAAGGATTTTGGTTGGAAAAGATGTCACTTCGTCAGCCGGTTTATACCTAACAAACGCTTTCATGTTTAAATGTTGTAGGACAAAGCAGTTCCAATTCCAGAAAAAATGAGTGAATGGGCACCTCGACCTCCCCCAGAATTTGTCCGAGATGTAATGGGTAATGTCTTTGTGTGTGTGTGTACAGTTTTTAAAGTGTAAGTATAAAATCTTTAGTTTTTGTTAATTATATCCCCTTGGGGAGGGCGAGTTCACTGATCTAATATTTTACTCTTACAATGAAGGGATATTATTGGTTATGGTTTGGCATTAGAGAATCTTCTTTGTTTTTTAATTATATCTTTTTTTCCCCAAAGTGGAATAGTTTTTTTGTTGGATTAGTAAATTAACACAATTCTAAAGAAGAGTAAAGAACAGGTGTAAAAAAATTAGAACCACCTGTAGTTCCGTGGTTCTACTTGTAACATTTTGATACAGCCTTGGAAACCTCTTTATAGTCAAAACCACTCATGCTTAAGAAAAAATGTTCTTACAAAAATACTGTTGTTCTACACATGCTATTTGAAACTTACTTTTTTTAGATCATGGCATCTTTTCAACTCAATAGAATCCTAGCATATCGTGTGAAATCCTCTGCTTGGGGAGGGGAAAGGTCACAGACTCTCTTTTAGGTTTCTGGTCTCTGAACCTTAATTTGCTTGTTCTCTTAATGCTGTTTGAGAATGGAATTTTTAGGGACTTCACATTCAACATTCATGCAACAAGTATTTTAATGATATCTACAACATGCCAGCCAGTGTGCTAGGTTCTCGAATACAGTGGGAAATAGGGCAAGCTTGATCCCTTCCATCACTTCTGGTATTTGTCTTTGGTCTGCTTTGATTAAGGGTAGCTTGTGTTGGTAACTGGATCTCATCAAGAGCTCTGGACTGCCCTGGCTCTAGGTTCAAGCGCTGGGGCCGGCAGCGGAGAATTCCACGTGTACAGGCATCTACGCCGGAGAGAGTACCAGCGACAGGACTACATGGATGCCATGGCTGAGAAGGTTAGTGAGCCAGGAGGCTGGCTGAAGCCTGGGGTTTAGGTGATGTGCACTTAAACCTGAGGAAAATAAACAATTGAAGAAGAGTAGATACACCTGGTTGTGGCTTGAGTGAGGGCTGCCTTCTGAAGTCAGCATGAGAAACAGATGTCAGGTAGAGTCCAGGTTACTTCTAGGTCAGACCCAGCACAGCAGGGCACTCACACTAGGAAGGGAATGAAGGGAGGGCGTCTGCCAGGTGGTAGAGAACCCAGCAGGGTCCCCTCTCCCCACCAGGCCATTTGCCATGGAATAGGAGGCAGGATCTCACATCACTGGAGTTATTATTTCTCTAGAATTTTCTCTCTTTTTGGCTGAATGCCTGTAATTCCAGTTAGCTGTGTGTCTGGTGCAAGGAGTACTGTGCTTTCAAGTGTTTTTGCCTCTTTGAGTTCTCTAGCTTTGAGGCTGGCATTTCTTCATGATACGTTATAATTGATTAAGAATTGAGAATATCTGTGAGTTCTGGTGGTCTCGTGGTTAGGATTCAGCACTTTCACTGCTGTGGCCTGGGTTCAATCCCTGACCTCAGAACTGAGAATCCTGAAAGCCTCCAGAGAGGGGCATGGCAAAAATAAATAAAATTTTTAAGTTAAGAATTGAGAATTGCTTTAGAAATTGTACTGTAAGAACTCTTAAATTTTCCATTGCTTGATGGGAAAGACCAGAAACCTCTCTCCTATTGCTCTTAAGAAATATTCTCTTGGACATTTCACTTGTTTTGTTTTTGGAATTGGGTTTTGAAGTTATTTTATCCACAACAAACATGTTGCTTGATTTTTTTTACTAGATTTAAATTGAGTCTGTAACTTAACTTGAATGAGAGTGGATGTCAGAGTGTTTAGTCATCTCCTCTAGAAACTTTGTCCTCTTTTGCTTGTATCTTTTTGTATCTCCTCTAGAAACCTTGTCTTCTTTTGCTTGTATCTTTTTGTATCTCTCCGTGATCATCTATGGAGATTTCACATATGTCTCACTACATTTGTTCAAAGATTTTTTTTTTTTAAGTATTTTGATTGTAGTGATCCTTTACATGTTTATTGGCCTGGCCAGAATTGAGTTTGAAAAGGTACCTTTATGATTTTCGAGCAGAATGGGATAATTGCCATGGTGGTTTTCGCCTGGTATTTGTGTGTCCTCCAGCCCTTAACTCGGCCCCCAGCTGTTGGTGGTTCTCCAGCGTCTTCTCATCTCCAGTAATTAGCTTCAGGTGACTTGTCACAGCTGTGCCAGGTCACTGATGGCTTTGCACTGTCAGGAGTAGCAAAACTCTGTGTATAGACACTTAGTTCAGTTCAGTTCATTTCAGTCACTCAGTCATGTCTGACTCTTTGTGACCCCATGGACTGCAGCACACCAGGCTTCCATGTCCATCATCAACTCCTGGAGCTTTCTCAAACTCATGTCCATTGAGTCAGTGATGCCATCCAACCATTTCATCCTCTGTCAGCCCCTTCTCCTCCCGCCTTCAATCTTTCCCAGCATCAGGGTCTTTTCTAGTGAGTCAGTTCTTCGCATCAGGTGGCCAAAGTGTTGGAGTTTCAGCATCAGTCCTTTCAATGAATATTCAGGACTGATTTCCTTTAGGATAGACTGCTTGGATCTCCTTGCAGTCCAAAGGACTCTCAAGAGTCTTCTCCAACACCACAGATCAAAAGCATCAATTCTTCAGCGCTCAGCTTTCTTTACAGTCCACCTCTCATATCCAAATGTGACTGATGGAAAAGCCATAGCTTTGACTAGATAGACCTTTGTTGGCAAAGTAATGTCTCTGCTTTTTAATATGCTGTCTAGGTTGGTCATAACTTTCCTTCCAAGGAGCAAGCAATTTTATGGCTGCAGTCATCATCTGTAGTGATTTTGGAGCCCAAGGAAAAACAGTCAACCACTGTTTCCCCATCTATTTGCCATGAAGTAATGGGACCAGATGCCATAATCTTAGTTTTCTGAATGTTGAGCTTTAAGCCAACTTTTTCACTCTCTTTCACTTTCATCAAGAGGCTCTTTAGTTCTTCTTCACTTTCTGCCATAAGGGTGGTGTCATCTGTATATCTGAGGTTATTGATATTTCTCCCAGCAGTCTTGATTCCAGCTCGTGCTTCTTCCAGCCCAGCGTTTCTCATGATGTACTCAGCATATAAGTTAAATAAGCAGGGTACTCCTTTCCTATTTGGAACCAGTCTGTTGTTCCATGTCCAGTTCTAAGTGTTGCTTCCTGACCTGCATACAAATTTCTCAGGAGGCAGGTCAGGTGATCTGGTATTCCGATCTCGTTCAGAATTTTCCACAGTTTATTGTGATCCACACAGTCAGAGGCTTTGGCATAGTCAATAAAGCAGAAATAGATGTTTTTCTGTAACTCTTGCTTTTTCGATGATCCAGCAGATGTTGGCAATTTGATCTCTGGTTCCTTTGCCTTTTCTAAATCCAGCTTGAACATCTGGAAGTTCACGGTTCATGCATTGCTGAAGCCTGGCTTGGAGAATTTTGAGCATTACTAGCATGTGAGATGAGTGCAATTGTGCGGTAGTTTGAGCATTCTTTGGGATTGGAATGAAAACTGACCTTTTCCAGTCCTGTGACCACTGCTGAGTTTTCCAAATTTGCTGGCATATTGAGTGCAACACTTTCACAGCATCATCTTTTAGGATTTGAAATAGCTCAACTGGAGTTCCATCACCTCCACTAGCTTTGTTATAGTGATGCTTCCTAAGGCCCACTTGAGTTTGCAGTCCAGGATGTCTGGCTCTAGGTGAGTGGTCTCACCGTCATGGTTATCTGGGTCCTGAAGGTCTTTTTTGTACAGTCCCTCTGTGTGTCCTTGCCCCCTCTTGGTATCTTGACGCCGAGCACTGTTTAAAGTGGGACAGAGAGCACGGCTGTGTCCATTGCTCAGTTAGTTGACATTTGTGGGTATTGATGGACAACCCAGAGAAAATACAGAAAATTATTTCACAATGAATCCACATAGTTGCAAACATTTTATTTTCACATGGTGAAGGACAGGCTCTGAGATTAGAAGGAAAGAGAGATGCAAGAGAATCCTTAACCTTCCACAGTGACTGATAAGAGTGTCCCCACCATGGACAGAGCACATCAGACTCCTGCTGGAGCCCTCACCAGAGCCAGCAGCCAGCGGGGGCTCTGTCTTGGTCCTTTGGAAAGTGCAGCTGCTTCAGACATTCACAGCTCAGCTTCTCAACAGACCAAGCGTTTTTAGCTTGAAGGCGTTGCTTTCTAGTTGAACTCTAATTGACGTTAAGTCCTGGAATTCCCTGGCAGCTCAGTGGTTAAGACTTGAGCTTTCACTGCCAAGGGCACGGGTTCAATCCTGGTTGGGGAGCTAAGATCACACAAGCTGCACAGCACAGACCAGAAAAAAGATGCTGATTCCTTTCTTTGAAGGAGGCACTTCTTTTTTATTTCAGAATTCTGCTCTCAAAGAGAGTTTCTGCGTCAGTCTTAGCAGAACCACCCAGCCCTGGCAGTGCAGACCAGCAGACGTGATGAAGCCACTTCTTTCTCTGCTGGCTGCCTTTTTGCACCCCCCACCCCCGCCTGACCTTTATGGCTATAACTGCCAGAGGTAGAGGTGACACTGTTTTATCTGAAGATGTCTTTATAGTTTTTCCTGTAGGTTATTGCAGTTCATTGTTCTTCCTAAAGGCTTGGAAAGGGAAGAATTACTATTCCCCCATTTTATAGATGTGGAAACTGAGGCTTAGAAACAGGTATAGCTGCTAGGAAGAAATAATACAAGGGGTGGATATATGTATGTATATATGTATTGACACATTCATATGTACCACATGTATGTATGTTTAGGTAATGGCAGTACATGTTATGCTGCCTTAGAATCTGTCCGTTAGTAACTAGCTAGTCAGGACTTGAAAGTTCCGTGGTCCCAGCCCTCTGGCCACTCTGCCTGCTGAACTCTGGTCACTGTCTCTGAAGAAAAAGCACACCCTTCTGTGTCTCCTTACTCTGAGTACTCAGTACTTTTCTGACACTTAACAGTCACCGAATCTATGGGAATTTTCCCCACACCAAGCAGTTCTGTGGCACCAGGAGAGTGTCCTACAACTTAACTCAATTCGCACACTACCTATGTGGAGATAGCTTCAGATCTCAAAAGTTAAGGACTCAGCCCCACAAGACTGTCTTTCCCCCCCCCAGCTTCAAGGGCCTACTATACTCTGCCATTGTCAGTGTGCTCCTGACCCACTGGCTGTGAATCAGAGGCTTCTGTGACCCCCCCTCCTCGGGGCTCCATTCACTTGCTTAGAGAGGCTGACAGAACTCAGGAAGGCGTCTCGCTTACTAGTTTCTGGTGTATTCTGAAAGACTGGAGCTCAGGGAGAGCCGGATGGAAGAAGGTGCAGGGAGAAGGAACGGAAGCCCTGTACCTCCATTCGTTCACCAGACCAGGAACTATCCACACACACCCTTTGGGATTGGAGGCTTCACTCTGTGGACATGGGTAAATCATTTGGCCATTGGTGGTTAGTTCAAGCTTCAGCCCTCTCTGCTCCCTGAAGGTCAAGGAGGCGGGACAGAAAGTTCCCGTGGCAACCAGCCCTGTTCTTAGGGGCTTTCCTTGAGTCACTCATACACTCCTATAGTTGAAAGGGGCTGGTTATAAAGAACAAAAGATACCCATTTCATCTTTGTTTCTGGAGCTTTGTATCTGGAGTTAGGGAAGAAACTGGCAACAAAATTAAATATTAAAAGATCCCCCTGTGGCTCTTAAATAGGAAATTTATAAGAGTTTTAGGAGGTATGTATCAAAAAAGTAGACAAGATATTTATTTTAAACCACAACGTCACATTTTCCAAGGCTCTAGAGAAAGAGAGTCAGCACTGCTGCGGCTGCCTTCAAGATACACAGTGTGTTCTCTCCTACTCTCTGTCTCTTCTGTTTACTTGGGCCTGAATGGTATCTTCGGAGAAGGCAGTGGCACCCCACTCCAGTACCTTGCCTGGTGGGCTGCGGTCCACGGGGTCGCTAAGAGTCGGACACGAATGAGCGACTTCACTTTCACTTTTCACTTTCATGAACTGGAGAAGGAAATGGCAACCCACTCCAGTGTTCTTGCCTGGAGAATCCCAGGGACGGGGGAGCCTGATGGGCTGCCGTCTGTGGGGTCGCACAGAGTTGGACACAACTAAAGTGACTTAGCAGCAGAATGGTATCTTAATGAATTGATTCCCTTCAACATTAGAGTCCTGTATGTTGATTTCCTGCCCCACTGGGCAGCTTCTTAAAGTGTCCCCAGAGATTTGGCCGTGCCTATAGCACCCCCGGTGGTGTGACTTGTAGAGTTTTCATGCCACGTCAGTGTTTGTCTAAGTGATGTGGTTTTTTGCAGCAAAAATTGGATGCAGAGTTTCAGAAGAGACTGGAAAGGAATAAAATTGCTGCAGAGGAGCAGACTGCAAAGCGTCGGAAAAAGCGGTGAGAACTTTGTGGCAGCCCATAGCTAGTGAGACTTAGGGCAGGAAATGTAAAAATAGATGGCTGGTGAACAAATCCTTCTTGTGGTCAAAAGTTCACCTGTATGGCCTGTTGAGGTCTTGGGTGTTAAAACCTACAGTGGAGCACCCCAGTAGAGAAATGACTTTTCTTCCTGGGGAGAGATCTGTTCACTTACTGCCCCCCACCCCCAGCTTACTACAGATTTTCCAAGGCTTGGGGGTCAGCACTTCGGTGATGGCATGGATTTCTGTGTCTCCTCTATGTCTGTGTTTTAATGAAAGGTTTAGTAAGTTGCTATGAGCAAACTTTGCAGTTAGCCTCTCCCTGAAAGGAGGGCCTGTAACCTCCCTAAGTGACCTCATACAGGCTGCATGTTTGTGTGTTTTAATAAATGCTCCCTCAACTTTTAGAGAGGTGAGCAGGATTCTAAAAGTTGTCCCTGAATATCTTGGAATGAAAAAGTACCGCCGGTATCAATATCTCTGGATTGCTTTAATCACCTCAGGACTCCAAAGAATTTGATCTTGATTCATGAAGGGCACAGGTTGATAATGTTGATGATGTTGGAGTAGCAGAGTCATGAGGAAGTACTTCTTTCATTTTATTGTAGCATTTGTGTAGTGTCTAAATCGCTGAAGGTTCTATAAGTAAATGTTTATTTTCTAAGATACAAAATGGGTAGTTAAAGAATTAATGTATTTATTTTACATTTGTAGCCAGAAGTTAAAAGAGAAGAAATTACTGGCAAAGAAGATGAAACTTGAACAGAAGAAGCAAAATGAAGGTGAGTGATGCCCACTTTCCTTGTCTGACCTTTCTCAGTGTTGATCACAGTGGTTGACCTGTCAAGAATGAGGTTTAGAGTCTGGAGCTGGTTGGCTGGCCTCTGAAGAAATGAGGGCTTGTTTCTGTTAGTTTTGACTCATTTAATTTTCAAGTGTCAGAAAGGCAAGCTGGTTTAAGCAAAAAAGAAAAGATACTGGCTCGTGTTTAGTCCAGGACAGACCTCCTTTCAAGCTTGCCTTGTAAAGGAGCACGGCTATTATTGGCATTTACTGTCTCTCTCTCTCCCCTGGCTCCCTGTCCTCAGGGGGACTCATTTCCTCCTGATGGTTCCAAGGTCCTTGCGGCTGCTCCAGGCTGCACCCTGGCTCATTCTTGTCCAGTAGGAAAGACTGAGGGAGTGTCTCCAGCAAAAGCGTTTTTGTGTCTCTTTGGCTCTTATTGAGTCATTTGGCAAGTCAGTTAAGAATGCTTTCGGCTACAAGAAATAGAAGACTCAACTAGTGGTAGTTAAGCAAAGAGTTATTTTTTCTCATGTAGCAAGAAATCTGGTGGTAGTGTGGTTGAGCAGGTCAGTACTATCAAGCTCAGCATCCCTGCAGTTCTTTTGACCTTGATCCTGGGGGCATGAGGTGGCTGCTGCAGTTCTGGCATCATACTTAGGTTTAAAGCAGAAAGAAGAGGGAAAAGAAGTGGCACTTGTCTGGTTTTGTTTTTTTAACTGGAGAGCATACGATCCCCCAGAAGTGCCCATCAGGTATTACTTTACATCTCATTGGTCAGTACCAGGTCACTTAATGTCATCAGGCTAGATGAATAGAAAACAGAACTGTCTTAACTGTTTGTAACCTATCATCACCATCACTGGATGGATGGTACATTGCTACTCTAGACAGAATTGAGGTTTTGTTACAAGGAGTAATAGTAATGTGTCAGCACATTGGGCTAGAAGAAGCACAAGCTGGAATCAAGATTGCCGGGAGAAATATCAATAACCTCAGATATGCAGATGACACCACCCTTATGGCAGGAAGTGAAGAGGAACTAAAAAGCCTCTTGATGAATGTGAAAGAGGGGAGTGGAAAAGTTGGCTTAAAGCTCAACATTCAGAAAACTAAGATCATGGCATCTGGTCCCATCACTTCATGGCAAATAGATGGGGTAACAGTGGAAACAGTATCAGGCTTTATTTTGGGGGCTCCAAAATCACTGCAGATGGTGATTGCAGCCTTGAAATTAAAAGATACTTACTCCTTGGAAGGAAAGTTATGACCAACCTAGATAGCATATTAAAAAGCAGAGACATTACTTTGCCAACAAAGGTCCATCTAGTCAAGGCTCTGGTTTTTCCAGTAGTCATTTATGAATGTGAGAGTTGGACTGTGAAGAAAGCTGAGCACCGAAGAATTGATGCTTTTGAACTGTGGTGTTGGAGAAGACTCTTGAGTCCCTTGGACTGCAAGGAGATCCAACCAGTCCATCCTAAAGGAGATCAGTCCTGGGTGTTCCTTGGGAGGACTGATGCTGAAGCTGAAACGCCAATACTTTGGCCACCTCATGCGAAGAGTTGACTCATTGGAAAAGACCCTGATTCTGGGAGGGGTTGGGGGCAGGAGGAGAAGGGGACGACAGAGGATGAGATGGCTGGATGGCATCACCGACTCGATGGACATGAGTAAACTCCAGGAGTTGATGATGGACAGGGAGGCCTGGCGTGCTGTGATTCATGGGGTCACAAAGAGTCGGACATGACTGAGCGACTGAACTGAATATGTCAGCATTCCACAGCCCTGCCTGCTTCTGAACCCATTACAAGGCCAGTGATGCCAGTCACTCCTTTGGGAGCCCCTGGGCTGAGAATCAGAGAGAGGTCCCAGATGGGAAGGATCAAGGAGGCTAAGAGACCCAAAAAATGACAACTGATCACCACATTACTGAATTGGTGGCTATACCATAATTGACTAGACATGTTCCCTGATTGGACAGTTGTGATTTTTGTTCTTAAGATAAAATCAGACCTGCGTTGGCGTACTGAAACATCATCAGCCCCTTCTATGACCTGTTTTCTTATGAGTTGTAAATGTACTGTAATGGGCTTCCTTGGTGGCTCAGTTCATGAAGAATCTGCCTGCAATGCAGGACACCCAGGTTCAATCCCTGGGTGGGGAAAATCCCCTGGAGAAGAAAATGGCAACCCACTCCATATTCTTGCCTGAAAAATCCCATGGACAGAGTAGCCTGGTAGGGTATAGTCCATGGGGTCACAGAGTCAGACACAAGTTGGTAACTAAATCACCACCATGTGACACTATATAGGACATGATTTTAGGCTGTTGCCCACCATTTCTGAGAAGAAATTATTTTAGAGTGCCAAAATGTGATGGCTCGGACCTCTTCCCTCAAGTAAGCCGCCTCATCATGTCCCCTGTCCTTCCCCCAGCCCCTACACACAGGAATGTGGGCGTACTTGCTCCAGGGCCAGGAGGGTTGGGCACAGGTGCCAGTCTCATGTTCTGTTGAAGAAGGTACTATGGCTTGGATCCCAGTATATTGAGAAATAGAATCTCCTTGGCTCTGGTAATCTGACCTTCCTTCCCTGGGGCTTGTTTTTGCTGCTTGTTGTGTTTACTGCTATTTATGTGTTCAGTGAGTTCCCTGAGCTAACTCTCTGAAGCTTATATTCTTTGTTGTGTGTGGCAGCTGAAGTCTTTGCTTGGTTAGCTTAGTGGTCAGCTGAAGATTAGAGATTTCCTGAAATGCTTTGAACCAGTAAGTCTCCTGATACTTGCCAAGGGCCTTTTCTGTGTGTGGTGGAGCATGTCTTCAACATTCTGGCAGGCAGTTAACAGCTTTGCCTTAGCCGTCACCTCCGTGCACGGAGCCTCAAGCTTAGCCAGAGGTGAGAGTAGGGCCATGGCTTGTCTGTCTTAGACTGTGCACAGTGGTGCACATGCATATAGCCTTCTACATTACCAGCTTGTCCTCTTATACTTTCGGTCAGTTTCTTGTTTGTTTCAGCTGTTACCACTGCCTCAGGCAGCTATGATGTTAAACAGTTGCCACTGATGGTTTCTGACAGATACCATGGGGAAAGTCTGTTCTCACTGAGTCAGGTTGAATAAAGACAAGCCTTGGGAGTAGAAGTTTCCAGGGAGCTGCCAGACAGGTGAAATAGGGACAGTGCTCTGAGTATGGGACTTCGGAGGGACTCCCACCAGGGGCTCCTCCTGGCTTTTCACAGCTACTGCAATTAGGAGGCTGTTGATTGAGCGGCTTCTTTGGATCTGGGGAGGAGGAGTAGGAAACAGGACAAGTTAAAACAACCACAAAGCTTGCTGTTCTTACCAAAATTCAACCACTTTTTGTCAAGCCATCCAGGGAACATTTCTAGACTTCTGAAAAAGTTGATTCTGATGACTGTTGTCAGGGTTCTCAACAATACTGCTACTTTTATGGAGGAGCAGATTTCAAGAGGTCCCTTCTGAAAGTGCTACCATCTCTTTAAATTTTAACCTACCTGTATTTGAAATATGTTTCCTGTAGATATCAGATATGTGGGTCATGTTTTTAATCCATTCTGACAATCTGTATTTTTTGATAATGTTTGGATTTTAGGGCTGCCACTTTGTCTTAATTCTTTCTTTTGTTTGTTTGTTTCTGTTTCTCCTTTCCCGTAGTCTTTTGGATTTATTTATTCTATGTATTGTGTTTTTAACTATTTCCCTTTTTGCAGCCTTTTAGTATTTCCTCTAGAGCTTACCCTATTCATTCTGCTTTCACAATCTACTTAGAATCAGCATTTCACCACTTTAAGTAGAATGTAGATATTTTTCATCATATAGATTTCTTTAATCCTTATGTTACAGTTGTCTTAGGTATTATATCTCCATACACTGAAAAACCCTTCAGATAACATTACTTTTTTTTTTTGACATATAGTTGACTTACCATATTATTTCAGTTTCAGGTGTACAACATAGTGACTTGATATTATCATAGATTATGCACCATACAGTTATTATAATATCTTTGGTTATATTTCCTATGCCATGCATTACATCCCTGTGACTTATTTATTATGTAACTGGTTGTTTGTACCTCTTTGTATCCCTTCACCTGTTTTGCCTTTTCCTCCATCCTCCTCCCCTCTGGCATCCACTAGTTTTTTTCTCTGTATCAGTGGAGTCTGTTTCTGGTTTAAGCAAATTTTTAGATCCCACATATAAGTGAAAACATGCAGTATTTGTCTTTCTCCATCTGACTTATTTCACTTAGAATAATACCCTCTAGGTTCTTCCATGTTCTTGCATATGGCAAGATTTCATTCCTTTTTTATGGCTGAGTAATACTCGTGTGTATGTGTGCCTGTGTGTGCACACGCACACATCTTTATTCATCTGTCAGTGGACACTTAGGTTGCTTGTGTGTGTGCACACGAGCATGCGCGCACCTTTTTTCATTCATCTGTCAGTGGACACCTAGGTTGCTTGTGTGTGTATGTGCGTATACGCACACTCATGTACACATTTTCTTTATTGATTTATCTGTCAGTGGACATCTAGGTTGCTTCCATATCTTAGCTTTGTAAATAATGCTACATTGAACTTTGGGATGCATGTATCATTTTGAACTAGTGTTTTCATTTTTTTTTTTTCAGATAAATACCCAGAGGTGAAATTGCTGGATCATGTGGTAGTTCTGTTTTTATGAAGCAGAGCTATTTTTATTACTATCTTTTATTTTCAATCATCCAATATATTTCAGAGGAGAAATACTCAAGAGGAGAATAGTCTTGAATAGTGACCAGATAGTTACCATTTCTGTTGCTTTTTCTTAGTTCCTCATGTTCCAGACTTCTTTCTGTCGGTCTTTTTTCTGTCTTCTTTCCCGTCTGTCAGAAGATCTCCCTGTAAGTCATTCAGTGAGAATAGGTACGCTGGCTATGAGTTATCTTAGCTGTTCTTCATATGTGTCTATCTTTATTTCATCCTTGTTCCTATG